AGCAGCTGGGCCCCTGGGTACAGCCCTGTACCTGGCAGGCAGCTCGTGTATGTCTCGTCTAGAGTGGCTGTGTCATCCCCGTCTGTGAGCCACTACCAACCGAGCCCACACCCATATCCCTCTGGGAGGAGCAGAAGTCCCTCTCCTTTCCTAGGAAGCAGCTGTTCTGATCCAAGCAGGTTGGCTGTTCATAGTGAAGGAGAAAACCTTTGACTAGTTGAGAGAAGTAACATCTGAGATGTTACTGAAGCATCAGTTGGCCTCACCTCCTTTCTGGGGCCTTAAAATAAAACTTCACCCCTGGCTTAGAGTGTTCTGTCAGTGTCTGCTAGGCAGCCAAGGTTGCCACTTGGCACTGTCGGGTCACTAACCTGCCTTTTCCTGTGTCCATCCTGCTTCCAGTCCCGTATGTGCAGCTCAGTCACCTGAGCACCGAGTCAGGTACCTTTCTCTATGCTGGCCCCTGCCCCTGCCTCCCAGCCATGCTCTCCTGGCTGCATTGGCTGCCGCAGCATGTCCGTGGTTTTCCTGTGCAGTGAGAGCCCGATAGAACGTGGCTCGTTGTGCCCTGTGCGAGTTAGCCTGCAGGTCCCGCCCTGGTCCCCCCAGGAGTAAAGGAGCGGGTTGTAACAGCCAGGGTCACAGCGGCAGCTGAAACTTTATAGGCAGGGCCCCTCCACCACCACCTACCTACTTACTGATCCTTGAGTTAACCCCCAGACACTGGATTCTCAATTAGGAGCGTCAGAGCCTGTGCCTGGAGAACTGCAGGTGATGGCATCTTCGGACCCCTGCGTTGAAATGGCAGCTGGGGGAGTGGCTCGTGTCTCAGAAAGATAGGCAGGGGGCGGGTATGCCAGGTAAGGCCCTTTCCTGGCCAAGCTGGAGGGACCTTACAGACAAAGCAGTGGCAGTAGGCAGGAGTCTGAGTTAAACAGCCACCTCCCGTGCCCTTGCTCACAGGCAGCCTGTACTTCACCCCCTGTGCAGAGACCAGCCCGCCTGCCCTCCCTACACCTCATCTTCCTACACGTCTCCTCCCCAGGTAGCAGGGGTCGCCTGTGGACACGGATGGTAGTCTTGTTGTATCGGGCTTGCACTGTGTTTGTGAAACACCTTCATCCTTGTGTGGTGTGGTTCGTCTTTCTTTGGTTTAGTCTTGCATGCACTGCAGGTTTTGGTTACCTGCTTGGGTTCCCAAAGCCTCCTTCCTAATCACCTTATGAATGGCATGGGCATAGCTAAGAGGCTATACTCTGGACTTAGGTTTCCCCTTGTTCTGCTGTGGACTAGAATCAGCTGAGATTGCAGCCAGAACCAGAGGATTAAAGCAGCCTTGCCTAGAGCCCCTCGCCTAGAGCCAGTAGTGCAAAGTGGGGATGGCTATGTCTTGTCCTGGTGTCACCTTAAATGGGTTGGGAAAGCGAAATGTAAAGCTTTTGGTGAAACTTCTAGACTAGCTGAGTTTAACCAGGGCTCCCTCCTATAGTCCTCTTGGTTCTTTCTTACAGTCCCATCTGCCAGCATGACCCGGCTCGCCCGATCACGGACCCACTCCACCTCAAGTAGCATCGGCTCTGGAGAAAGTGCCTTCAGCCGATCTGTCACCAGCAATCAGTCAGATGGAGCTCAAGAATCCTCTGAGTCTCCTGATGTTCTGGACAGACACCAGACCATGGAGGTGTCCTGCTAAGCAGATGCTCCTCCCCTGGACCATGCAAGTCCATCCTCCTTCAGACAGCCACTCCATAATATAACCCTTCATCCAGCAAACTGGCATCTATCTATCTTTAAGTCTTGCATGGCCACTGACTCTCTCTTTCTGGTATCCTGGATTAACCATCCTCTCTGCCTGCCCGCCCCCCTTTTTGTATGTACCGAGAACCACTTCCATGCCATTACTGTAGCATTCCAACACCTTCAGCTGATCAGATCTCCACATCTTCTCTTGCCAGCTTTTCCCTGTGCTTTCCCAACTGTGTAGCTAAGATTGTTTGATCCTGATGTATGTGTGTGAGCACGCGTGTCTGTGTTTTTGTGTGCATAGTTCTGTGATTTTAGACAGGCTTTCTTGTAGAGCTTCTGCAAAAAACAAAAAAAAAAGGGACTCTTTTTTTGCATTTTCAGTGGTGTTTTTAGGGGAAATATGCAGAACAGGTTTCTAGGTTGGGTAGGCCATTGCATTCTCTTTCGCTTCCATATTGGTCAACAAGATCTGCAAAGTGACTTCAGGAGAGAGCAGTTCTGAGGAATGTGGAAGATCATAATTCCTGTTTGGATGGTTGACTGTGACCAACAGAAGGGAGCCTGTTACATAGAGAAGCAGGCCCCGGGTGGCCAGCCACCTTCTCCTCTCCAAATGAATTCACATATACTATTCTGTGAATAAAAGGGAGGGATATGTTCTCTTAGAAGCCCATGAATGATGAGGTTCTGGTGCAACGTGGAGTTTTTCCCAAGGAGTGAGTGTGGCTTAATCACTGGACTTTTTCAGCACAGGAAGGGGAAAACGAAATCCCAGGCCTCTGCTCTGTCAGAACAAAACTGAGTCTCTGCAGTGTCTGATACCACATACCAGACGTCTGCAGGAAGCGCCGCCCAGGAGGAACACTCTCCACCCCTCGATTGCCCCAGAAGGGAGAGGTATAGCCTGAAAATTATGTAGATGATGAGGAAATGGCTGGGGAGAGAGGAACAGTATAGACTTGATTTCAGCAGACTTAATGGAAGCTAAATGAAAGTCAGATAGAACCCATTTCTCAGGAAGTTATTCGTGTGAACTCCCTTTTGTAGGAGGGAAGGGGCCAATCTGTAAGGGCAGCCTGTCCGGGTAGAATTTTGTTCAGTCCGCTGCTATGTGAGGGAGTCACAGCCACCCAGAGAGTGTGACCAGGAGGAGGGTGAGAGCAGCTGCCACCCAGTAAGGGCCCAGCTTTGAGGGCATTGAGACGTTACGTAGAGAAGGGTTGCACAGTCCTGACCTTAGGAAGGGGCTTTTCAGATGTAGCATTTGCTTTCTGCTGAGATACGGAACGCGTTACTCTGTCAGAGTACAACTTTTTACGGATGATGAAATAAAGCTGTATATGTCTCATTGTTACCCGGTGGCTGGTGTGACTTCTCTCAAGCCACTTCCTGGGGCTCGGGGGGGTACCGAGTGACTGCGTGTGGGCTCCGTGCTGGGCATCCTCACATACCTGATTATTATCCACCCAGCAGCACTGTCCGTTTAAAGTAAGGAAACCAAGACCCAGGATAAATAAGTTGCCCGAGGTCATACCAGTAAGCCAGCCGAGATTGAACCCTGAGTCCATCTGACACGCCTATATTCCTCTCAAACCGAAAACCTGACCGTGAGAAGCCTGACCGTGAGGCGATGCGGGAGAAGCCGAGATCTCGGAAAGGCTGCATCTCAGCTCTGCCCTCTTTGCGCAGTTGCCACCTCCCACCCCTCATGTAGTAATCTGCAGCCACCTGCCAGGGCTCCTGCAACAGACCAGACTGTATTTCGCCAGAAGGGGCTGTCTTCATACCCACCAAGGACAATTTCAGGAGGCAGCCGTCTCAGGTCAGTTTTGAACAGTCCAGGGGCTGCGGCTACCACTACATCGAGGTTGCTGTGTCTGTGGCAGACGCTTGTAAAATGACTCGACCCTGCCCATGCTGGTAGAGGACAGGAAACAAATGCATGTGGGCCGATACAGGTGACCGTGCTGAGGTTCTTCCAGAACAGGCAGAAGCAGAGTTCCAGAGCTGGAGGTGGTCTCATGGGCACAGTTGCTCTACGAACCCACCTTGCTCCAGCTGCCTTGGCTACACATCGGCAGGGATGGTTGCCTGTTTCCCACCTTGGCTGTGTGCCTGGAGTCGGGCCCCAACTGGCTGGTCCTTACCACACTCATCCTCTTCTCATTTTCATTTCCTTTCTTCCTATTCAATATATTCCAAAAAAAAAAAAAAAAAAAAGTTGGGGTGCCTGCTTTGTGAGAGGCAAGGAAGTGGCCAGGTAGATGCTCCTACCCAAGATGATTGTGTGAAGCTTTTTCATATAAATTTCGTATAAATTCCGGAATTCCATATAAATTCCATCTAAATAAAAATCTCACCCAGTTCTCATGGCAGCTCTGCAAAGTGGCAGTGTGTGTTACAGACAAAGAACAGCTGAGGAAAGTTAAGTGATTTGGCCAAGGACACCTAGCTAGAAAAAGTTCCCAGTTCTTCCAAAATCGATGCATTTTCATATTTTATTAACTACAGGCCACGCCCTTACACCTTCCTGAATGTTCCTCCTACTGAGCCAGTACGGTAGACCCTTTTCCAGTTTTGTGGATGAGAAAACAGGCCCAGAGGTAACCAATTTACAAATGGTCAAAAAACTAACAGAGCAGCAGGTCTAGGCTTTAAACTCTAATTCTCAGGTGCCTCCCTGAGTGGAACGGGAGAGGATATGGTGGGATTTTTTTGAGACCATAGATGGTCTTCCTCGTTCCTACTTCCTACTTCCTCGTTCATGGGCCTCTCCTTAAGGCCAGTCCAAAAGTCTGCCTGTCAGATGAAAAGATGGACGTCGCGGTGGTGTGGAGGCAAGAGCAGGAGGGTGGGCCTGTGATCAGTTCCCTCCCAGCCACAGGCCACATCCTTGAGTGGCCGTCACCCACCCTAACGTCCTGGTGAGAACCTCCACTCTGGCTCCCTCAGCTCTCCACGCCAGGTGCCGCAGGAGTTAAATCTCAAACCAGCCTTTCCCGGGAGAAAGGGAGAACCTGAGCCCAGGTGTGCTCAAGGCCCCAGAAAAGGCTGCATTGTCCGTGAAATAGCGGTTTCGCGTTAAAAGCATCTGTCTCCAGGATTGCTAGGCCCCTAATGGGGAGGCAGTGAATGGGTGGTTGTTTAGATACTAATGAGCTGAGATTTTTATTAATTTAAATTCAAAAAAAATGTTGGTTTTTTGGCCATGCCACACGGCTTGTGGGATCTTAGTTCCCCAACCAGGGATGGAACCCGGGCCCTGAGCAGTGGAAGCGTGGAGTCCTAACTACTAGACCACCAGGGAATTCCCTAAATTTAAATTTTAATGACTGATTTAAACATACTAATCAAAGGGGGTTCTATCGGAGATTCTTTATCCTAGCCGAGTGGTTCTTAAGTTCAGGGTGTGCATCAGAATCACCTGGAGGGCTCGTGGAAACAGGTTGCTGGCCCCCTACCATGGAGTTTCTGATTGGGTAGATGAGAGGTGGAGCCTGAGAACTGGCATGTCTCACACATTTCCAGATGATGCTGAGGCTGCTGGCCTAGGAACCACTGTCCAGGTCCTGCTACACAAAGCGTGGTTCCCAAACTAGCAACATGGGTATCGCCTGGGAGTTGTTAGCAATGCAGAATCTTGAGCCCCACTGAACCAAAATCTGCTGTTTAACCAGATCCCCAGGGGATTCCTATACACATTAAAGGTTGGGACACTCCAAGGCAGTGCTTCCCGTACTTGCTAGTCAAAGGAATCTCTTGGAGTGTTTAAGATTCAAATGTTGGGGCTGCTCCTCTGGTGACTTGGATTCGGAAGACGTGGGGGAATCCCAGGAATCATACTAACAGGCCCCTCGGGTGATTATAATAGACCAGGTAAGCATGGGAAACTCCTGCTCATTTAGCTTGGTTCTGTGTTCCTTGGATCAGACCAAGCCACACAGTCAGAGAGAAACCTCTCCCTCCAGGATCATGACGAGGCAGCTGCTTCTCCCCCATAAACCGGAACTTGGGGAAGGTGGCTCCTCGACGGTCTGTGATGCCGTCAGAGGAAACGGGTGGTTGTGAGAACCACAGAGCCTGCAGATGTGAGCTGGGAGCTCCAAGGACCCTGTGACAGAGCTTGAAGAGCCCTGGGCCTGCTTCCTGGCCTGGCTGTGCTTGGGAGGGCCAGCCAGTTGGAGGTGGGGCTCCTTTCCCATCCCTGGGGTACAGACTGCTGACCACAGGCAGATGCCAAGCTCCCCAAAGCAATATCGAGAGCCTCTCCCTGAAGACTCCCAGGCTGAGAGGGTCCCGGGTGACCTAGGACGAAGGACATTGGCCGACTTCCAGAAGGGGCCCCCCAAAGCCCTAACCTCTTCAGCTAAAGCATGCGTCTTAGCCGAGCCCCTGCCCCAAGCCTCTGATGACAGGAAAACAGTAAGTATGCTTGCTTTTTGTTTTCCGACGGCTTTGGGACTGTGAGGAAGGATGGTCCCCTCAAGACTGGGAGTGGGCTTTACGGTTGGGACAGAGCGTCAGTGGATAAGAGGAGTCTAGATTATAACTTCTGAAGACACGTTCAGCTCTAGAGTCTACAATTCTTCTTAAAAGGGTGATCTTTCTCAGTTGAAAGGGAGGGAGGTCTCCTTTCAGCTCAATCCAAATTTATCACTTACGCTGCCACAGAGAAATTATCTGCAGAAAATTATCTTCAGAAAAACACAAAAGACGCGGATTGTAGATCCAGCTGTGCACTAACCAGCTACGAACAGTGAGCACGAGGTTGCTCTCCCTGGGCCCCGGGCCTTGTTTTGAATGGCATTCGAACCCTGCCGACCTCTCAAAGGGTCAAGTACTGTGGTCAAAACACCAAATGTTCCACGTGCTGACCGCGGCTGCCTTTAATTCTTCGCTTCCGCCCATGCCTGGGTCCCCTAGAAAGTGCCTACCTAACATGTAGTAAGTTGTTCAGATACTTAGACAATTATGATTAGATTCTTAAAAGTTGGGGCCAGTACTATCCCCCCCTTCTAGGTCTGCCCACCCACGGTCTTCACTTTGCCCCTAGAAGGCCTCCTGACGTTGACGGGACCAGGTGAAGGGAGCTGGCAGAGTGCTGGGGGCTCTGCCGGCCTGAGTGCAGGGTTCTCCTGCCTCTCGGGCCCAGCCCCTGGCGCCACCTGCAGCGTGGAGAAGTCTCTGGGTTCAGTGTGGTTGGTGACTGTCTTGCTGAAGCAGGGGAAAGGAGACTAACCTCTGCTGAGCACACACTCCATGCCAGGCCCCTCAGCTTCTCCTCACAACCCCTTCGAGTCAGTATTATCCCAGATTCACCAGTGAGACTCAGAGAAGTTACACGCTTTGCCTGAGGTCACACAGCTCGAGCTTGGTTGGTCTGAATCACTCGTGCTCCCCAGGAATGATCTCTCCCAGGGATTTTTTGGACCCCTGTCTGCATAGTTAAGCACAGAGCATGTGCCCCATACCCAAGGGGAAAGGACTGTTGAAAACCCGGCCTGAAGGGGTGCCTTGGCATTGAGGGAAGCAGAGACCCCAGGAGGCAGCAGCGCCATCTCGGGCTGCCAAGCCTTCAGGATCCCAAAGTCGGAGCAGGAAGTGACTGCCGGGAGCCATTCCCTAATGGTGGGCCTGTTTTGTGTTAAAGAGCTCTCCTGTCCCGTGAATACGGAACTCCCCCGGGAGGCAGGAGCAAACATGCCGTCATCCACATGTGGATGGCACGAGACTACAGACAGCTGTTCCATTCTCCAGGGCCGCATCCTTGCTCCTCAGACAGGAAGGCCTGTGAGGCCATGGGAGTCACTCCACCATCATGACGGACACCCGTCCTCACCCAGGTGTGGGAAAAGGGTCAAAGGCAAGGATGGAGCCTGCTATGTCCCTAAACTGCTATAATTATGCCTTGTCTCTAACGAAGAGACTGAAAACCGTCTGAAAGAATGAAACCATCTCCCTACAACATCTTAATACGTATAGTGTTTGAAAAAATCGGCATTACCCTGGAAACCTGGGAATTTAAATTATTCTAAGGATAAGACACCTGTCCAAAGAGCTAATAATCACTTCGTCCATTTAGATAATGTGTATCAAGTGCCTTCCGTGGGTGAAAATGCTGAGGAAATGGGCAGAGAGGTCCTTGTTCTCAACAAGCTAGAGAATAATGGCTCATTAAACAAGCACCCAAGTATGTGAATAGTTAAAACTTGGGTAGAGCCCAACAGGGAGCCCCGAGAGGGAGAAAAGGGAAGGTCCCCAGGCATGGCCTCTGGGGAAGTGCCACTCGGAGCGTGAGAAAGGAAAAGCAGGCCCTGACCTGGCTCTTCACATGAGTTCTCTCTCAGACCTGTATGGTGGGTATCGTTATCCCCATTTTTCAGATGGGGAAATGGAGGCAAAGAGAGGGAAGTGGTTCGACAAGCAATCCTGTAAAGGCTTGCAAGTCATCACTATGTCATACAGTCTCCCAGGCGTCTTACTTGGCCCTGTGACACCAGTAACAGTGTGCTCAGTGTCACCTTAGCGCGTGAGGCATGCCAGCCAGCTCCCAAGCCCCCTCAGGTTCCCCTTGCCCACCTAGCCGTGGGTCCTGGTGTGCCTAGAGTGAACTCTGTCCTGTCACTGGCCCCTGCCACCCAGTGGCAGAATGTGATCCCAGGTCAGGCAGTGGTTCTGAGTAGCCATAGGAATGATCAGCTAGGGCTGGGGGATTCGGGGAAAGCTTCCTGGAGAAGGGTGGGATCCAGACAGGCCGGAAGTGGAAAAAGGGTCTTCCAGTAATGGGAGGGGGCTTCACACACGCAAAGGCCCAGGAACAAAGAATGGAGCACGGCTACAGTGTAGCAGAGATGGGAGGCAAAGAAAACAGGGTCCGGTTTGCAGAAAGCCTTAACAGTCTGGTGGAGGGGCTGGAACCTGGTCCTGATGGGAGGGATCTCATTTGCTTGTGTCAACAAGGAGGTCAGCAGGGCTGAGCTGGGGAGGGAGGGTGTCTGGGCACCAGGCTGGGAGCCATGGCTCTGTCCCCATCACAGCATCTCTTTCAGATTTCTCTTGGTGATGCACTTCTGAGTGTTCTGCTGAGGAACGATGGGAAGTCAGCCCAGCAGGGGGAAAGCCCTTCCAAGCCCAAGCCTGAGCCCCTGTGTGCAAGGCCAGGGGCCTGAGCCCATGCAAGCAGGTAGGCCGAGGGCCCCGGGGCAGCCAGGCCCTTCCTGAGCAGCCACTCCAGCCTCAAGTATCAATGAGGACCTGCTGTATACCAGGCCCTCCCCATGAACCACACAGCCGGGGTCCCTGCTCTTAGGAAGCTTACATATTAGTGGTCAGAACATTAAACCAGATAAACTAGAAAATGTGAGAGTGACCAGAACTAACCAGGAGCGTGTGATGGTCCCCCAGGCATCTCCCATGGCTTCCCTCCTCCTAAACCAGTTTATCCAGAGCCTGAGCTGCAACCCTAAGACCAACCCACATCCATAGCTCTCCAAAGCTGCACCGTCCATTACGATAGCCACTAGCCTTATGTAGCTATTTCAGTTTAAACTGAAGTTAATTAAAATTAAATTAAATATTCAGCTCCTCAGTAACACCAGCCATATCTTAAGTGCTCTCCAGCCATTTGAAGCTAGTGGCTACCTTACTGGGCAATACAATTATAGGAGATTTCCATTATCGCAGAAAGTCCTACTGGGCAGAAATGCTCTTATCCTGAGAGGTGCTGTGAAATACTTGAAGCAAAATAGAGCTATGATGATTGGAAAAAATGAGTTCATGCAACGCATGGGCTGAACCTGTAATTGTGGTTTTCTGAGGCAGTCCTGACTAAAAAATGCCAGTTTTTAGGACGATTAGACAATCAAAGTATCTTGCAATATCTAGTACTTTGATGTCAGAGCTACAGCCCCAGTTTGTTTCTTGTTCCCTGAAACAGCCCACAAATCCTTTCTCAAATCACATTCTGATTTGGTTTCGATAATGTATTTGTCAGGGTTCCCCAGAGAGACAGAACCAGTAGAATGTGTGCGTGTGTGTAAGAGAGAATTTATTTTAAGAAATTGGCTCACGCAGCTGTGGGGTGGCCAGTCTGAAGTCTGCAGGGCAGGCCAGAGGGCTGGAGACCCAGGGAAGAGTTGATGCTGCAGAATTCCACAGTGGAGTCTGGAAGCAGGATTCTCCCTTCCTCAAAGGACCTCAGCCTTTTTCTCTTAAAATCTTCAACTGACTGGATAAGGCCCACTCACATTGTGAAGGGTAATCTGCTTTATTCAAAGTCTACTGATTTAAATGTTAATCTCGTCTCAAAAATAGTGTCACAACAACATCTAGACTGGTGTTTGACCAAATATCTGGGTACTGTGGGCTAGCCATGCTGCCGCATAAAATCAGCCAGCAGAGATAACAAGATACTCTAAACCAAGCAGCACTTCTAGGAGGAAGGACACAGACACACAGTTAACAGAAGTAGAAGACTGCAGAGCCACACTGGATATCTGTGTTTGGCAGGCTCTCCCCCAAACTGAAAAGTCCTCTGCAATGGCTGGGGCTTCCTTTCTGCTCCTCAGCCCCCATCCCCAATATCGACCTTTCTTTTTCTTAAATACTCTTATTTTTTATTAATTTTTTTTCTTTTTGGCCGTGCTGCACAGCACGTGGGGTCTTAGTTTCCTGACCCAGGATCGAACCCGCAGCCCCGTGTTGGAAGCGTGGAGTCTTAACTACTGGACGGCCAGGAAAGCCCCAATATCCTGCTCCTCTCTTTAACAGCAGCCTCCCCTAGCCCCCTTGGTCATCGATCGGCACCCTGGACCCTGTAGACTCCTGCTGGGGAGGCAGTTGCCTCCTTCTAGCCACACAGTGTGCACCGAGAGCCTGGGGCCCAGCAGGCCCTGCAGGAAGAGATCTGGAAACCACACAGACCCCCACCTCATTTCCTCTGAATCTAGCCACAGGCAGCGGCCCCGAGGCTGCTCTGAGTCATGCCCAGGATGCTGAGGGGGTGACCCCCCGGCAGGTGTCCTGGGGCCCTCCTTGCCTGTGGGAACTGAGGGGCACTGTGTTCCCCTCTCTGTCAGGGTCTCCAGGGGACGAATGGGCTTCTCTCAGTACTTCTACCCCTGGTCCCAGCAGGAGCATGGATTCTGGGCAACTCCTTTGTCCATCAGCCTTGCATCCACCCAAAATCTACGAAGGTTCTACCCCATGCCAGGCCTTGTGCCAGGACCGGGGGACACAGTAGTGGACAAGACGGACACAGTCCCTGTGTTCAGGGACAGTCAAACCTCAGAGACAGGTGCTAAACCAATAATCAGTTACAGCTGTGTTAGATTTTGATGACAGTGTTTCAAGGGACTCTGACCAAGAGCGTGTGCTGAGGGGCTCATCAGGGAAGAGACGTTTCATCCAAGGAGTGAAGGATGAAGGTGACTCAGCCGCCGGAGGGGACCCATCAGGGGGACAGCATGTGCAGCTCAGTGGCTCCTGGGGTGCAAGGCCAGGGCTTCCAGGAGGGGGAGGGGCCCTTCTGGCCACCTGGCTCTGTTCTTGTCAGAGGACACCCTCCCCAGACTTAACTTGTACCGTGTATTCGGGCATCAGGCAGGCATTTCCCTGCACCGAGGGATGGCCAGGCCCTACGTTCTGAGGAGCTCCTGTCTGGGGTCACCACGGGGGTCTCCATGTGTGTCTGGGAGGACATGTAGGAACTGGTCCATTTCCAGAATCACAGTCTCATTCTGCCCATGTCCCAGAGGCCCTCAGCCCGCATAGTGTCCAGCTCTGTGTCTGCCCCACCCGTCCCCTGGGTCCTTGTCTGTCCTCTGCTCTCCCTCCCTCACTTCCTGGGGCCCCAGCTCTGTCTAGAGGGCCTCACAGAGGCCTCTCAGCCTCTGAGGAGCATCTGTGAGGCGCATAAACCTTTCTTGCTGACCTCACTGCTTCTCATAGCCTAACGCAGAGACCCCTACTGAAATGGGGTAGGAGGAAGAGAAGGGAGGGCGCTGGGGGGTGGGTGAAGGGCGCCCTGCAGCCCGTGTGTTTTCAGGACAAGTAGGCCTGGACAGGCATCAGGAGGTCTAGGTGGTCGGGGCAGGCTGGTCCCGGAGCTGGGGACGAGGGGATGAGCATTCTGTGCTCAGGGAGCCGCTTGCCGCCCGCTGTCCAACCTCAGAATTGGGCCTCAAGGCCACCACGTGCTCAGGACCAGTCCTGAGGGTGGGGTGCGGCGGCTTGGTGTCCTGTCTCTGTGACTCCCTCTCTGAACGCCAGCCTCCTGGGGAGTCTGGGCCTTTCAGAGACGTGCTGCTGCTGTCCAGCCCAGTCCCCCGGCCCTGGGCCCGTGGAGGACAGGGACGGGGTGACGTGGCGTAGGAGCTGTGCCCGCCCTCCCTGGCAGACTGCCCCGTGCAGCCTCGGTTGCCTTGCTGTGCAATGGGGCTGAATGGAGGTGACACATACAGCACCCGTCAGGCCCTGACACAGAGCAGGTGCTCAGGAAGAGGCGGCAGGTGTGTGACCAGGACACTTGACTGAGACGCACATTCCTGCTGGGCGCCTGCTCTGGGCCAGGCCTGTCCCAGTGGGCCCTGGGGCTGCACCTCTTCTGAGGGGGCAGCACAGACCTACGCCTGTCGCTCTGGACAGAGGTCACGGGAGAGCCACTCTGCCCACGTGCACGGCACTCCAGAGTTACAAAGCCCGTCCAGGTCAGTGATTTCCTGGGCCCCTCGGGGAGCCCTCCCCCTCCCATGGCCGCCTCCCAGCCCCTCAAAGCGAGTCCATCTGGTGGCCGCCTCATCGGTGCCTTTCAGAAGCTGAGCTCAGAGATCCAGGCTGATACCTGCTTAGAGCTGTCGGCTTTAAGCTTGCTGAATTCCTTTATCAGAATCTCCTGTGATGATCTGTATAAAAATGGGATTGTAGCCAGGAGCCCCACTCCTCTTGCCACACCAGTCCTTTCCCCGAGGGGCCCCCAAGAGATGTCTGGGCACCCCCAGGGCTCTGCAGAGCCCTGTGGAAAAGCATCAGATTCCAGGTTGCCATCCCAGGATCCCGGCAGACATGCCGCCCTAGGGTGCCCGTGGGAGGATTGATGGTGGGAGCCCAGCCTCCACTGGAGCTCATGTCTGTCCAGAGGGTGACCATCTCTGTCCCTCCATCCAGAGAGGAGCAAGGCCAAAGCTGTGGCCTTGGGCAGTTTCCCAGTAGGCGAGCAGGCAGAGCTGTCTCTGAGACTGGGGGAGCCATTGACCATCATCTCTGAGTAAGTCCCCCTGAGGGCACGGGGTGGGGTGCTCTCTCCCCTCCCCCGATCCCCGAAGCTGCATTAGTGGGAGGAGGGGCCCCTTCCAGGGGAAAAGAGCATGGACTTTTGTGCTGAGCTCACACAGCACTGTGATGGTGGGATTTTAGGCAGCTTGACACACCTGCAGGGAAAAGCAGTGGGTGCGCAGGGCCTTGCAGGGGGGCCCTGAATCAGGCCATTCACTGCCCAGGAGGTACCCAGACTGGCTGGTGCAAGGAAACCTGGGAAACTCAGGTGGGATGGGTGGCCACAGGACCTAACCTGGAGGGTCCTTGTGAATCCCAAATGAGCGGTGCCCAGGGCCTTGGCCCTTCTGAGAGGGGTCCCCTCGCCCTTCTCTCTCCAGGGATGGAGACTGGTGGACGGTGCTGTCGGACATCTCAGGCAGAGAGTACATCTGCCCCAGCATCCACGTGGCCAAAATCTCCCATGGGTGAGTTCACACCCCAGGCCCTGCCTCTGGGGAGCTTCCTGCTTCCTCCTCCCACAAGTGTAGTTCTTCACGCCCAGTCTTATGCTGAGCAAAGCGGGGGTCAGGGGAAAGTCAGGCCCAGACCCTGCCCTCCAGAGGAGCTGACGACTGACTCTTAGGTCAGCCTGTGAGACATGGAGCCCAGAGGAGAGGACTTGGCAAGGCCTCATGGAGACGTGGCACCTGGGCTTTGGAGGGTGGCCGGGAATCTGGTGGTGGAGAATGCTGGAAGGGACTTGCAGGAGGTGGGGACAGCCTGCGTAAATGTCCCCAGAGAGCCTCCTCGGGCTGCCCTTCCAAGAGGCACTTCCTCAGGAGGGCTGGACTCGGGGACGCAGGGTCTCTCAAAGAGTGTGAGCCATCCCTTGCCCAGAGTAAGTGACAGACTGACTCCAGAGCAAATTCTATGTCGAGAGAGAAAGGCAGTGAATAACCTGGAGCGGGGGACATGTCACTGTGTGTGCTGTGACAGCCACGCTTCAGTTCTGAGGAAGAGCACGGCTCCCACACTGGATGGCCTTCCTTTCTGAAGCTCGTGGTGTGTCTGGCTCTGAAGCAACAGAGGATCCCGAGACATGTGGACACATCATAGAATCAGCTCGCGTCTCCCAGTGGTCTGGGCCTGCGGGGCAGGGTTTTGCCTCCGCAGCCTGGCGTGAAGTTTAAACAGAGGAAACACCGACTACCTCTAAGAGTCCCCTTTCCTTGCCTGCGCTTCATTTATAGCCTCGATCTTCATAAATCGTATGAATGATGTATTTTATTTACTATAAAACTAGGCTCAGTTTGCTGCTGGCCCCAAGAGAATCACAGCTTCTCTACGTTATTTACTTGGAATCAACTCAACCCTGAATCTGGCATTTCACAAAATGACAGGGAGGCAACCATTTCCATCAAATTGGCTTCTGGAGGCTTTGCCTGGGACCCCCGGACATGACTCTGGGGACAGTAAGAAGCTGATGGACCGTAAACCAAAACATTCCTGCACGACTCCTTGAACTTTTCACTGCAGTGAAGTCCTTCATGGACACACATAGGTGAGGGATTAAGTGAAGAGAGAAAAGGAAGGTGTGGGCTCAGTTATCAACAATCCCAGCATTGGAAGAGGCACGTGTGGCTGTTGATGGGCTACGTGATTTTTTCCAAAATTTTAGAATGTCTCGAACATTCTAGTTCCAAACTTTCTACTCACAAATAAGCTACAGTGGAAGTTAGATTTCAGTGATAATGAGTAAATGTTCACCTGCATACCTTTTGGCTACAAAGTTAAACTTTAAACTGTTGAAATAAGATATTTACTAAAATTAAAAAAAAAGAGAGAGGCAATTCTTGGAGAGGTGAAGGCTTAGACAGGTGAGTGGATGGTGTAGGGGTGCTGGGGGAACTGGGCAGTGAGAGGAGAGGGTCTGGGATCACCTCACCTGCCCCCAGACCCTGGCCACTTGGGAATGAGCTCTTCAGTTAGAAAAGGCTGGGGCTGACCCCATGAGATGGTCCTGGCTCCAGGGGCCTCGGAGGTCAAGGACAAAGCTGGGGGCCCTGAGAGACCTGAGGCCAGCTCTTCATGGGACGTTTGGAAGTCTGAGGCCCACAGAGGGAAGAGAGCTTCCAGTAGAGTCTTGGGCCACCCACCCCCAGGCTGACCCCCGACCCTCTCTCTGCTCATCTCCCCACCCCCAGGTGGTTATATGAGGGCCTGAGCCGGGAGAAAGCTGAGGAACTTCTGCTGCTGCCTGGAAACCCAGGAGGGGCCTTCCTCATCCGGGAGAGCCAGACCAGGAGAGGTGGGTAAGCTCAGCCTGCCATGGGCTTTTCCCTTTCATGCCAAGAGCCAGGTGTGATGTGACTTGGGGGTAGAGGTAGGAGGCCACATGTGGAGGGCTGGAGACCTGGCCTTGGAGTCGGGCAGTCTGGCTGACTGACCACATGTTGCTGCTGTGAGAGCCTATCAACAATGGGGCAGGGCTTCCCTGGTGGCGCAGTGGTTGAGAGTCCGCCTGCCGATGCAGGGGACGCGGGTTCGTGCCTCGGTCCGGGAAGATCCCACATGCCGCGGAGCGGCTGGGCCCGTGAGCCATGGCCGCTGAGTCTGTGCGTCCGGAGCCTGTGCTCCGCAACGGGAGAGGGCACAACAGTGAGAGGCCCGCGTACTGCAAAAAAAAAAAAAAAAAAAACAACAACAATGGGGCAAATAACCTGCATTTCTAAAAGTGGTGTGAATTGCCCACGGGAGGGATCCCGCTCAGCCAACACTTTAGCAACCAGGACTCGTAACAGTATAGTCACAGGACTTCTCTGCCTTGACCAGCAATGATTTCTCCCTCCCCAAGACACAGCATGACCCTGATCTCTTGACAAGGTCTCTGTGCTTTGGGTCACCAGCCAGTCGGAGCCAGAAAACCCACTAGGAGTCACCTCATGATCTTCCTTTCTGTGCTGTGCAGATGGGGAAACAGAGGCCCACAGAGGGATAGGGACATGTCACACCGCACGTTCATATGGGACTTCTCCCACCCCAGGTGCAAACAAAACACGAAGTCGAGTCTGTCTCTGATGCCCCTGCTTCTCTCTGAGCTGCCCTGAGTCCCTAACAGCAGGGACAGAGAGGGACGTTGAAGGAGTGGCAGTGCCCTCGTTTATGTTAGGCTCTGTAAATGCCTTCAAACAACCCTGTGGGGATTGTACTTCCAATGTCCCCATTTTACAGATGAGGAACTGGAGATTTTGGGGAAGAGAAATGAGTTGCCTGGGGAGACACAGCTAATAAGTGCAGAGCTGGGATTCAAACCCCGCTGAGGTTCATCGCACTTCAGACACCCAAGAGAGGCCCACCTGTGACAGTAATGGTAGCATTACAAGCACAGGGGCAGACTAGGGAGAAGCTGTTCAGGAGTGAGGACGGGCTGCCTGTGCTTCCCTTAACTGAACTCACTTTGATGCGTCATCAGGGTCCTTTGCTCTCTACTCAGTCTCCCTCCTGGGGCCCCTTCCAGTGCGTGTCTTTGCCTCTCCTTCCCTTCATTTGGGAGCCCCCTGGGTTGACCTCTCCCCAGCCCCTCCTACTGTTTTCCAGGCAGCGCCAGCATCTCTCACATACACCCATAGGCAGGCCAGGGTGGGGGGCTGGCTCAAGTGCAACAGCTACAAACAGGAAACCATAGCGGTGCTGTTGGGGGCGGGGGCACTGTAGACCGGGCCCCAGTGAGTGTGAGAAGCCACAGGAAGTGCTCCGTGCTCAGCTGCCCCTCCCACACCCCTTCTCTGGCCTGGTTCAACCCCAAGAGCATAGTGACCGAAACTTATTGCCTCTCTGAGCCCCTTTTCCAAGAAGGCCCATATACAAGAGGAACTGGTGGAGAAATAAAGGAGAAAGCAGATAAGAATCCATGGGATCTTTTTTTTTTCCTTGCAGTTTTATTGAGACATAATTGATACTCGGCACTGCGTAAGTTCAAGGTGTAAAGAATCCATAGGATGTTTAAGGATCCACAGAATTGCTGGGATTAAGGTTAGATTTGACTCTGAGGTTCCCCATAGCAACACCAAAAAGGGATAGATCAGAATGCAGCTCTCATTATCGAAAAAGGAAGAATTTGCCAATTCTGCAGGAAAGGCAATTTCCCAATACTAATTTCTAATCTCTCATCCTGGGCTTCCTTTTGGAGAGTGTCTGTTAAGCTGCAGGTTACAACCCATTTGTGGGCCAAGAAATCAGTTTGGTTCAGTGGTTATAGACCAGTGGGTCTCAAACCTGGGTGGGCATCAGAACACCTGGAGGGTTTGTTAAAACAAAGAACTGGTCCAGCTTTAAGAACCGCTGATCTAGACCTTGGCTGTGTGTTGGAATCATCTGGGGGAGATTTATAAATTACTGATGGCTGCACCCCACCCCCAGAGTTTCTGATTTAATTGGTCAGGGGTGTGGCCTGGGCCCTGGAAGCTACAAGAGCCCCCCAGGTGATTCTGATGTGTAGCCAAGGTTGAAACCCATTGGTTTAGTGGATCTGGACCAGGGAGCGTTGAAAGTGAAATAGAGCTGAAAACATTAGGATGCATCACTGGGGCTGGGGAAAATATTGCTTCACCAAACTTTTTGTTTTCGATAATTTTAAGTGTGTTCTGGGTCACTGTAAAATTTCATATGTGGTTTGTGGTCAAAAAAAGTTTGACACTAAATCTGTACGGGCCCGAGTGACGCCACAGGATGGTGGTTCTCAGACTTGCGTGTACAGGGATTGTCAGGGGATCGTCTTGCTGATGCACTCTTAGGCCCCGCCGCAGACCTGCCCAATCAGACTGCTGGGTACAGAGGTCAGAAATCTGCTTCCTTCACAAGCTCTCTGGATGGATCTCATGTTTTTTTAAGTTTGAAAACACAGTTCCAGTCTAGGGAACCCAAAATTAAGTAATGAGAGACAATGTTTTTCATGTTTACATAATGCATCTTGTCATATATAACGGTAATTAACTGTTGACCAAGTGAGTGAGCGATATCAGGATCAGCTCTTCTTTGGCCCAAGATCGAGACGTACCTGTGGGAAGGGAATTCTGTAGGGGCTTTGAGCCTGTGGGTGGACCAAGGCGGAAGGCCTGGGGCCACTGAGCTCCCAAGAACACTACTCAAGAGTCTGGAGGGGGAGGGGAAGACCCCCCATCTTCCCCAGAGTCCCTCTGGCATACCTGGTTGTGTTCTAGGCCTGGGGGGAGCCATGGCAGGGCCCAAGTCAGGCCGAAAACCTTGGTGTGAGAAGGGGCACAACGAGTTTGTGGAGGTCCCAGGACTGCTCCAGAGGTCAGCGCCAGCGCCAGACCCCTAGAGCGTCACCCTCTTGCCTTCCTCCTGTCCTACTATGTGTCTGTACTGTGTTGAGCATTGCAAGAGAGACTGATGAGCAAGACACGCTTCCTGCCCCTGAGGGACTCATCTCTGTGATTCTGTCAGCCGAGAAGCACTTAAAAGCATCTCCTCTGAGTCAGGCCTGATAAGTTGTATTTCCTGCCCTCAGGCTTCAGACAGTCAAGGGTCCAAGGTGCAGCATTCTCGAGGCTATCAGCTTCTTAGAGGTCTCAGAAGAAGTTCAGAGGGTCCTGCTAGACCTACGTCCCCCAAACAGGTTTTAACGTGCTCCCTCACACCACTGTGGACCCCTCCCCTCCTCCCGGCATCATCATCAGAACACCTGGGAGAACATGGCTCCTTAGGTCACTGCAGGCCAGGGTGTGACACTGGCTAAGCCTGCTGGAGCTTTCTGGAATCCGGGACCTCATACTTTCCTTGCCTTTTTCCCAGTGGGTCTCCCTCCAGGGCCTGCACCCAGCCTTAGCTCCTACCATTCCTTCCCACAGCCTGCCTCTGGCCCACTGCCCACCAGAACACTCCTTGAATGAACACACCTTGTTCTTTCCACTGCTCCATCCCTGCACATGAGCCTCCCTCAGGGCCTGGAAAGCCCTCCCTCCAGTCCTCCACTTGGCCAACTCACACTGATCCTTCTCGACCCATTGCAATGCCATTTCCCCAGGTTATTTGTCACTCTTTGCTCTTAACTCCCACAGCATCCTGAAAAGACCTCTTCTGTAGCTGCAATAAACTTATTTCTTAAAACAAAGTCAGGGTATGTGGTCTAACAGCAGGGGAACTAAATATTTGAGATGAGGACCATAAAGGAAAATTCTGGCTGAGGGATGTGCTGAGGGACAGTATTTCTTTCCCCAGAGTATGAAGATCTGATTACCTGTGTCTGGGGCTAGTGCAGTGCCAGCTTGTAGTAAGTGTTCAACAGATGTTTACTGTATAAATGGATGAGTAAATGAGTGCATGTATGTACGTTGAGGGGAGGAGAGAGGATGAAGAGCTGGGGTAGGGTAGACTGACCCCCAACACCATCTGTGCTCACAGCGGTAGGAGTGCATATGGTGGCAAGGACTCCTCAAGTCTGCTTGTATCATGGCCGTGTCCAGTGTTTATCACAGAGACTCAGTAATTCATTCAACAAATAAATACTGCATGGTGACTCTGTGCCAGCCACTGTTCTAAGTGCTGGGGATTCAACAATATAAAAAGCACCAATAAAGAGGTTAAAAAAACAGCAAAATCCCTGCCCACAATCTAGTTGGCAACGTGCATAGTGAACAAACAGTAATTGAGCAACTGATCATGGCAAGTGCCACAAAGAAACAATAAAGCGACAGTTCAAAGGAACAGAGTAAACAACAGGTGCATCCTCAGCAGGAGGCAGGTGTGCCTGGAGCAGATCCAAGGTCACCGGAAGTCAGGTCATGCAAGGCCTTTCCAGGGTGAGAGCTTCAGATTTATTTTAAGTGTTGACAGGGAGGGTTCTAAGCAGGGGAGTGACATGATCTGATCCCTCTACGTTGCAAAGAGAGGATTTGGCAGGGGATGAGGCGGAAGTGGGGAGCCACATGGGAAGTTGTTGCAGGCTAATAAGAAGTGGTTAGATTCCGGATATGTTCTGAATGTAGCCAGTAGGGTTTTCTGTGGGGCTGGATGGGAGGTGAGGGAGAGTGGAAGCTGCCAGGGATGATGCCGGGGTTAGGAGCTTAGTAATGAATGGATTGCGCTGCTGTTTTCGGAGATGGGAAGATGGTGGGCAGATAAATTAGGACGATCCCTTGTGAGGCTCACAGTTGGTTATATGGTGGGGTGGGGTAGTGTTGAGGGACAGACGATGGGAGAATAGGACCTTTGGTGCTAGCACTTGTGTCTGGGCAAGCCTAGAGCTGGAGTTTCTACCAGGCAGAGAAGGTGTTCTGGCGAGGAGTT